TACCCTGTAAATTTGGTTGAAATATATTCATTTTTCGATTTTTAACAGCTGTTGTAACCTTTTTTTCTGGATATCCCTCGTAAAAACGTTAAGTATTTGCGAAAAGTAGCAGATGTTACAAATCTAAATTTGCACCACAAGCGCTCGACTGTGTGGCTCCTCTAGGTTGCTTGCACAACCAGGTAAATTTTTTTTTCTTGGGGGGGGGGGGACCCAATAAACTTTTTCTTGCCCCGGGACTTGCAACTTCTTAATCCGGCCCTGGGTTAGTGCACTGACTATTAAAAAAAACATAAGAGTAACGGGACTTTGTGGACACCCTGTAAACTGCGCCATAAAAACCACTCCAAGCGCATGCATCTCTAACTAGAGGGATCGAGGTCTAGCTTAATGTCAGCAGAAGGCATTTATTTCTGGCCTTGATGTATTTTTCCATTAATTGAAGGCTTGTTACGACATGAACCGTGGTAGAGTTTCTGGTGTCTTGTATGGGGAAATTCAGTGATAATTCCAAGTAGCAGAGATTCCGCCAAAAGGCTATACACTCGATTCTCCTTCACTTCCGCAGTACTGCCACCTCTCGGTTGGTATGAAATCAACTTCCGCACAAGGTCAACCGATATAAATAAACCAATATAAATAACTCATTGGGTAACATGCGCCAGATCCGTTTAACTTTAAACTGATATTGTTTCATAATAGGTGGCAATGAAAGGAAGCCTATCTCCGTGAAACCGATTCCACTAATCGACCAGTGTGTGATTGGCTTACGTTAGTGGCTTACGTTAAACAGGTCTGGTGCATGTCACCCATTGCTCTCACTAGTGGTGATGGAATTTCCAGTTTCTCTATCAACAAGTAAAAACATCACTTATCACGTCCTGTCATACGTGTACATTTCATTCTGCGGCTCAATGCAGCAAGTCACCTGAGGAGAGTGCCTCTCAATCCTATGAAAGGAGGCTCTGCATGGAGAAATGCAGACAGAAAGACAGGTTAGATTGGAAGTGCTACAGGCCAAGATCAACTTTGAAGTTTTGCGTTATGAGTTAGAAGGTTCAGAAATATTACAGGCACTAGGTGGCTGAAGTACAGCCTAGCGCGGAACAGTTTTCTGCGGCGGTGTTTTGCCTCATTCCGAAACCGTCACACGCGTGATGATTGCATCGATCGATTGTAACCAATTGTGAAGGAGTTCATTTAAATGTGGGGTTGCTTTCAGTCTGCCCTCCCAACTGACAATAAAAATCTTCTTTGTCGAGCCAAACTATCTTGCGTGTGTACTGACTCATATTGGTCTCTGTCACACCAGTTCAAGAAAATTGAAAGAAAAACTAAGAGATGGAAAGCGCTGCAACATAATTGGAGCAAAATGGGCAGGTAACGATGAAAACGGAGTGGGCTAGGCTGGTATTTAATGTCGTTGGAGCTTACGTTTGCAAAATAAGGCATATTTAAAAAGAATTTTTTCAATGAAAACCTATTAAAAGTTTTTTTTTTCACACGAAATTCTGTAAGTTTCGTTTCTTTGCATTATTTTCATTCATTTAGGTATTACTGCCTGGCGGCTGCAGGAGCTCTCCTCAAGTACGTCGAGATGATTCAGAACATCCTCTTCGCACCCAAAAGCCTCAAGATCGTGTTTCAGGCACTGGACAAGACCACTTATATCGGTTAGTCCCCGAGAATTTCGTCATCTCGACTGCGAGTCGCTCTACCAAGTGCCATTTTTGCCTGGATCGAGTGCAGACGTGGGGACAGGCACCCAGCTGGAATTGCTGAGGAGCACCAGCGACCCAGCTGGGAGCGGGAGCCTGCTCGGGGTGCTGGGACACACGAAGACAGCCGGAGGAGCCCGACTTCTCAGGGCAAACATCCTTCAGCCTCCCTGCGACCTCCCGACCATCCGTGATCGGCTCAATGTCGTCCAGGAACTCTCTGAGAACCCAGATCTTCTCTTCGGCTTGCAGGTAGCTGGGCTGTGTACAATACCAGCAATCTCTCATGGGCGCTTCGGGAGCGTGGAAAAAAGTATCATGAAAACACGGAAACACGTATATATTGTCAATGGACCCGTTCACCATTTAAATTATTCTGCTATCAAAGGAAAAAAGTGAAAGAAGAAACCAACAGTTTCTTCGAGCATCATGCTGAACGAGCATCGTCGATCGCAACGCGTCGGCTCAACAAATACACCTAGTATGCAGTGGCATGACGAATACATTTTCTCATTTTCTCTAACATGGAAGGTTGTATGTCTAGAACGCAAACAATATCGAAGAAAAAACCCTCCTTGACGTCACTGGATGCTATTTCTGAAATACTGAGAACTCGTTCGATTTGCGAGGACACGCAAAAGCTCCTTCGTTGCGCGTGTTCTCGCCCCTCCCAGGCGCAATATGCAAGGCCGTTTCTGTCCTCCTCCCCAAAAAGAATTGCAAAGTGGTGACGCCCAGTCTGTTTGTCCTCGAAGGGGACGCTGAGAGCGTTCGATCAGTGGTAGGGGTTGGCCTTGTACACATCCTGAACCTTAACGCGGGCAAATAGGAAGCAAGACGAACGCATCCACTGGAGCGGTCATACTCCGATAGTAAACGAAAATTTAACCTGATGACCTAATGTAACTCTCGGGCACATGGCAGGCAGGTACGTTGGAAAACGTGGTCCTTACGATTGAGATCGAACCCACAATATTCAAGATGTCGTGACGCTCCATTCAACCCCATTGCCTCAACGTGGTCCTCGTATTTTTGTTTAAAAACGAATATGGCTCATAAATGATACACAGCCTACTATGCAGGTAGTACGAACTGTCATTACGGTCCGGCAGGCAAGAAGGCCCAGCAGGTTAGCCATCACGTTCAACGGAGCCCTCTCCAGAATTGCTCATCTGGTCCGATGCTTACTTGTGAAAGATTTTCGCAGCATCGACACTGCTTGCATTCCATGCCTTTGCTTAGGTTGTGCTCCTTCGTGAAATATATGCTCAGTCTACTGTATTATGTTGATGAAGGCGAGGCTGATGGGAGTTTATCTTCTCTCCTGGGAGCAGTCAGTTTTATCTCGGTTCATCGTGGACGTGGATCATCTGCATTCCCTGTGCATTCAAATCCCCAAGCAGGACACAGTCCTCATTGCCGAGACTCGACTCAACTACATCATCGGCCTGAAGCACGTTCTTGAGCTCGTGGAACCCCTCCAAAGAGCTCTCCTCGAATCCGAACTCCCCTACTTTCGATACATTCGACAGGTTCAGTTTATCCACTTTGGGGTTGGGAATGCACAAAACCATTCAGCATAACAGCTGTGTTAATGCATGCAATTCAGTTTCTGCCTGAATAAGACAACCAAGTAAAAAAATGTCCAAAATCAAGTTTGAACATTTGGTCACTGGCCAGTTTTATTCTGTCCAGTGCAGGATTCGGTTCAGAGGATGAACATGCCTCTTTCTGTGTTTCTTCGTCATGTCAAGGAGTTATCGGACGAGAGGTTCGGGCTGATGCTGAGGGAGATAGGTAAAGTGTTGAGACCAGACGCGTTCGTGCACAAGGGCAGCGTTGCCATGAAGACGCAGAGATGCTTCGCCGTCAAGTCCGACATCAACGGACTCCTCGATGCGGCTCGGAGGACATACTCCGAGGTCATCGACGACATCACTCGTCAGTTTGTTTCCTCTTCCTTTGTCTCCCAAGGTCGTCGTTTTGTACGGGCATTTGCAAATCTTTCTTCGTAGTCGCTGTATTGATCAATTCTGTGCTTCCGTTTTACTTTCAGAATACGTGGACGGGTTGGCGGGGCAGACAGGTCTGCCATTGAGAGTGAGCCACAATGCAACCTGGGGATTCCACATTCAGATCTCAGACCCGGATAACAAGATAGCCATCTCTACCATCCCGGACATTTTCATCTCGGTAAGCCGCTATGATGGGGAAAATCATTAGAACACAGCTACAGAAGTCAATGGTACTCCATTAGAGCTTCAGTTTCATCCCTTTCGTCTTAGAATATCTTAAATGTAAAAATGGCGGACTGCAAATGAGCTGCAAATGACCTTCATGGCATACTTTTTCCTGACCTGTTGAGCACATGTTTGGAGTGATTCCTCTCCATCTTCCCCTTATATTAGAAGGAATCACTACGCAAATAGCTCTCTCCCACTACTTGGGGGGAAAAAAATTCATGATTCCAATGGAAAATTCATGGATTGCAGGTGCAGCGGCAGAGGTCTTGCATTCTGTGTAGCACCGAGGACCTTCTGCTCCTGGACCAGAGGACCAAAGAGGCTGTGGAGCAGATCGAAGTCATGAGTGACCTGTGAGCTCATTTCATCCCCCTATTGGTCTATAATTTAAGGTCCACCTGAGAAAATTCTCTGTACATCAGTGAAAAATCAAAACAACTGTTAAAGGTCTGCAAAGAAGCAGCTTTGGCTTCGAAATTTGTTCTATGTTCTGGGGGTTTCCTAGGCAGTAATTCAGAATTCAAGTATCCAATCTTGAATTCCGTTTTGGGACTTAAATGTATGGGGAACTATTACGAAATCTTCCTACTGAGACCTCGTGGAGCTATGACATAGGACACTTAAAAAATCTCAATTTGAAAATTAAGTTCCGAGGCGATAAATAGCCTCAAGATGAAAAGATTCTATCTGGGAAAGATGATGCAGTGATTCACTCGAAAACCGTGAAGGGTGGTGAAAGAGCTGCTGAAGGCGATCCAGGGTCAGATCAGCAGCCTTTACAAGCTGAGCGAAGCCACGGCCACGCTGGACATGCTTCAATCCCTGGCTCACTTGAGATCCATTTCCACGGATTACACGAGGCCTAACTTCGGGGATACGACCGCTATCCGGGGCGGACGCCACCCCATCCTGGACAAGTTGGGCCCTGACCCCCCCATACCCAACGATATCGTGAGAATTCAATTCATTTATCGTCTATACGCGTTTCGTCTGTGACGCATGGACGTTTTTATTCGTGGTTCCACCCTGTCGGTCTGACTGCATTTCTAGTTTCACAAATGTTAGGGAAAAAAATAACTCCCCTGATCGCTGCGTTTGGCATGGTCACGCGCAGCCAGGTTCATGACAAAACTCGATCGAGAAACAAGCTCATTGGAAATTTACTGTCACTCGGCACGACGGGGTTGGAGGGGGCCTTTCAAGAGCTCCTCTCGCTGCCTCCTTTCTTACTTGTCGGAATCCGAGTACAGCAACGTGGAAGTCGATTCCTGATTGGTTCTCCCGCTCTTCATTCACCAGCAGTTCCGCCGAAACTATCACAGGTTACATCGGAGACTTCTAAGCTATCATCATTCAGGAAAGCCTGCTCTCAAAAACCTAGCTTGGTGTTTATTGAACACGAAAGTCAGCAGATTGTTGTGTGACACGCTGATTTTTCCTATGGAGAAAGTGCCAACCGATATATGCTGGTAACCCATCTCCCTTTGTGAATCAACTAAGTCTGTAATTTCCATGTGTACTAGCTATGGACACAGCTCCATGGTGCCAGAAGCCCTTGGATTTTGACAAGTAAGAAAGTAAAATCTGACAGGACTCTTCGAAAGCTCCTCGTAAAAAGAACAAAAAATGATGAGAACAAGGCTAATAGTTTGGTACAACTTGCTTGGATATGCAGTTCTTATCAAAGGAGACGACTTTCCTCGTGGTGACGGGACCGAACATGAGTGGAAAAAGCACGTATTTGAAACAAGTGGCTCTCCTTCAGATCATGGCTCAGATCGGCTCTTTTGTCCCTGCCGAATTCGCCACTTTTCGTCCCGCCGATCAGATCCTCACGAGGATGGGATTCCAGGACAACATGGAAGCTAATGCTTCTACCTTCAAACTTGAGGTCTGGGTTTCCCACGGATTATTTATTAATGAATCATAAAACAAATGAGTGTTTCACTCTTCTAGGATTTCCTAGGGAAATACGTTATCACTTTATTTAGCAACTGCGTGGACACAATGTCCACGCAGTTGCTAAACTAATGCTAAGGGACATGGGTACGTCGACGGGAAAACAAACCATCTCCATGAACCAGGGAGGAAGAGTCAACGGATCTTCCAACCCTCCCCCCCCCCACCCCCCAATCCCGATAAGAGAAGCCAAACCATGAACATCTGTGGCAACTTTAGAACTGTATGCTTCCACATGAGTAGGCGCTTCGATTACTCACAACTTCATTCTCCCTCTGTAGTTCATTGGTCAAGAGTTCGTAGTGTTACTTAAAATTTTAAAAAAGCAATAAAGGAGAAAATACCAACCGGAAAAAAATCAGAATGGTAAATCATGCAAAAATTGGCGAAACAACGATCAGAAACTACATGAATGAATATGACCACGGCACCGCTGATTTTATCTGGCAACCATTTCTGTTCATAAGAGCTCCCCTGACGACAATAAACAAGATATGATGGCAAGTGCATGCAAAAAGACGAGGTCAAGGGCATACATAATGTCTGTACTGTACACAACCCTACCTAAACACCTGTTGCTCCTCCAGACCCTTCTGCGAGAGTACGTTCTGTCAACCCGAGTTACTCCTTAGACCGGGCTGGGATGCGTGATCCCAGCGTGCACAGAGCTGGACCTGGCTCCCCCAATAACGGCCCAATGGCCTTCCCCGCTCAAAAAAAAAACTAGGTTTTAGGAAAGGGTTGCACATCCTTATGCTTCCATGACGAAACAGGTTCACAAAACATCTGTTTTTCAAGCATTTTATTAAAATTTGGTGGGCTTGGAAGAATGGTCACTCATCCGAACATAATTCTAGCGAAGTTGAAAATATAAGGTTTTCCATGTGTTGGAAGTTCCTTGGATCAGCATGTGACTGAATGGGCCGCATAACTCAAGGTGATTATAATATGGGTTGGTAGATGTACGACATTCTACACTGTCTCAAAGAAAGGGGAGGTATATGTTTTTAAATATCTCCATCTTATTCTCATGTGCGCCTCACGTTCTTCATATGAAATCTTAGATGAATAAGAAAGATTTCTGCGATTTAAGGAAAACTCAACCAGTGATTCAAATGCAGTAACTTTTCAACACTGAAGTAAGGCAAATGCAGTGAAGAAAGAATCTTGCCCACGATTCCTCGCCAGGTGCATTCCATCGGGGCGCTCCAACACGACTGAGCACGGCAGCAGGCAGTCTCAATGAACAAACTGGTTTTTCGTACTTACCCTGCATTTTCAGTTACTTTGTGTTCAAGTTGCTTTTTTTCTTAAATAAATATAATTTTCTGCAGGGCTAAGGCCTAAAATTCCATTCATACAGTTTTTTTCGTCATAAACCACATAATTAAAAATGACGAACTTCGTGGGATTCAGTAAAGTGGACAAGCACCTGATCAAAGTTTGCGAAAGATGAAGTACAGTGCTCGCCGGTTCGTGGAGGGATTCCCTGGGAGAAAAATAGGTCACGTCATGGTCTTGATTAGTTGCTGAAACTATCGATTGGCAGAAAACCTAAAAGTGGCAGGCCACATACAATCTGAACAGCAGAAAATATCGAGGATATGTAAGAATTGGTCCTAAGTAAGGAAGGGGGACCTCAAACTTATCGAACGATGAACATGATGAAAGGAATTTATCAACACCGATTTCATCGTTGAGACTGCCTGCTGCCTGCTCTGTCATTTTGAAGAGCGCCCAAGTGATGCACCTGGCAAGAAGTAGCGTGGGGATTGATCACTTTGATTTTTAATACTTCGATTCTGAAAAGTTGTTGCCTTTGAAGCACTGGGAGAAACACTTGTACACGTGACAGGAATATTTATTTTTCACCTGAAATGGTATTTTAAAAAAAGCATGAGCCTTGCACAAAACTGGATGGAGATATTAAAGAAAATAAAGTGGACCCTACACAGTGTAGAATAAAAACTATATAAAACAATGCGACTCCCAAATGTTCACTTAGCGGTGGTGCATACATTTTGTTCTACAATGTCGTACAAGAGTCAAGAGTGTTAGTGATATCAAGAGGCGATTTCGCCCATTTCGATATCACGTGTCGAGGTCGANGGGAATTCATCAGAATTATGACAGACGTTGCTACCAACTGGTTCATCGATTGGAGCAGCTAGTATCACACGAACAGCTGAGCAGCGCAGAATTGTTGCAGCACTGCACAAGGCTTAAGGAACAGTTTTTGACCGTAACTGAAAGCTCAGCTGAAGAAAGCTAAGCCAGTGAAACATGATTTGTTTGTTAAGATGATTCCACAAGTGTTCTTTCAGTGTATAATCATCATTCCTCTGCCATATCACTAATTACTCCTTTATATAATTGATATGTAGTTCTGAGTAATTGCATTTGTTCATGATTCTGAGACCTAGTGAGATATTCTCACCACCTATATACAGTTCATATAATTATTGTATTTAGTCTGAACCTAGAGAAATTTAGACACTTTTGACTTATTCTTAGAATTATATGCAACTAAGAGGTTGACATATGAAGATGAGATGTTAGTATGAAGCTTTCAGCTCAAGTAACCAAATGTTGAACAATGCCAGATGGGAATTCATGGATTCAATAAACTAATTAGAAAAAATCCAAGTCATTTATACATAATACAAAAATACAAAAAAAAACTCCACCTTGCAACTTCTGGATCACAGGCATACAATACTGGCAACAGACTTTGTTCATTGTGCAAAAGAAATAGGAATTTCTGAAACATAGGCATACCAAAACTTTGACAGCAATAAAATATGCTTCATGTCCAAAAAACCAGACTCATTCTGTGGGAAAATGATTTAGGAGATCTCATTGGCAAAAGCCTTTGCCTTCTCTAGGTGCTACACACCAAGGTTCTCCTCAAAACTTGATTGTGCATGCAATGAGGATGGAATGGATGTATGTCAAAGAGGCTCCATCCAGGGATTTCAAAACAGCAGTGTAGTTGATGATCTTGTCTGCAAGATCTCTCAGAGATTCCCCCGAGGAGCTTTGACCCTTTCGCAGGGCAGAGGATGATGCAGGATGAAACTGGAGATACATCTTCAAGAAATGACAGAAGAATAGCACACTTTGAATAAGATCTTTGGTAGACACACGACACCTGCCCGTCTTGGCCTGCTTCTCACACTCAGAAACTAGGCAGCTCATTGCACCAAGAACCTGGAAGTAAAAAGCCAAGCAAAGGGGTGATAATGAGCAGTTGGGGGATCCATCGAATGTGCAAGTATGAGGACATATGTTGCAACAGGTGTGATGACACTGAATAGAATGCTAATGTCTTATAGGGATTGACACAGTGCTGATGTCAAGGTATCTAATATATATAGACGATCGTGACTGACTGACTGACACTAATTCTAATCATGTTCTAGAAGGGTTAGAAATCTGAAAATTGGTACACATGTACCTTTTGGGATGCAGAGTTTAGAAAAAATCCCACTTTGGAGGTACATGCCTGGGGGTACAAATTTTGGGGGGAAACGTTTTTCTTAAATATATTTCATGACAGATGAGGATGGCATTCAGAGAGCCAACTGCATGTCCTGGGTTCGGTGGTGTAGTAGTAGCATCTCTAAATGGCAATCAGAAGGTCCGGGTTCAATTCCCGGCCATTCCTTGGCTTTCCTTTAGCGTTTTTTGCCTTCCATGTCCCGTTACTCATTCCACCACCATAACATTCTTTTTGCTTCAGTAAAACGGAGAGACATGGAAAGCTGAAACTTGGCATGGACGTGCCTACCGAGATGATGAGTTCAGGAAAAATGAAAAATTTTAGATTCATGCCCTCGTGGCATATTTTTGTGAGCCGACGTTTTCAAGTATTTTTTGTTTTTGCATATTAAGCTAGTGTGGAAAGATGAAACTTGGTACATAACTACCTATTGGGATGCTGCAGAAAACTTCAGACTTTGGAAGTAAATTCCCTGGGGGCACAAATTTCAAAGGGAGATGTTTTCAAATAATTTTTTGCATTAGAATGCAAATTGCACTGATGAACATGGAAAGCTGAAACTTTGCATGAATGTGACTACTGAGACAAAGAGTTAAATAAAAATGTTAAGTCTCGATACATCCCCTGGGGGAATTTTTTCGAGGTACAATGTTTTGGAAAAAAAAATTGTCATGGCAAATTGGACAGAAATGGACAGTTGAAATTTGTGTCACGTAAGAGTAACACGATATTACTGAGCTGAGAGGGTATTCAGCTTTCATGGTGCATCCCCTCCGGGCATAGCGTTAGGGTGTGTCGGCTTTTCTAAACATGATTTTTCACCAGCGAAAAGGGCAAACGTATAATATTGAAATGTTGTGGGCATGTAGTTCACTGAGGATAGTTTTCAGTAAAAAAAAAAAAATGGTACGTTTCAGTTAAAACGGCTCTGGGCACATATTTTGCAAAAGGCGTATTTTCCCGAATTTTCTGATCCAACAAACAGATGGGGCATGAAATTTAGAAAACTTGGCAAATAAGTACCTGATGGATAGCTGCGTAAAGAAAAAATTCTACTTTTTTAATATATGTTGACGATCGTGACTGACTGACTGACGCTAATTCAAAAAGGCGAAATGTATAAGTCTGAAACTGGATGGCATGGAGTTCCCTGAGTCTCCAATCTAGAAGAAAAAATTTTTTTCACTAAAACCCATCAGGGCCCTTTTTTAAAGTCCCATTTTCCTGAATGTTTTTTTTGATTCAATGAAACATAGACAGAAAATTTAAACTTCCCTCAGAAGTATCTATTTAATAGCTGAGTACAGGAAAAATCCTACTTTTGAAATATGTCTCCTTTGCATAGATTATTGGAGGGAAGTATTTCAAAATGTATTCTCCACCCTTACTAAAAGGGACACAAGAAAAGATTTCATGTTTGCCAGAAATAGAATCATAGAAGTTAAGAGTTTGATAAAAATCAAGACTTTCTGCCACATATGTCACGTATTTCAATGAGGATGTACTTTAAATACGTGTTTCCCATTTCACAAAAAATGAATGAATTAATCACTATCCAAGGTAAGGGAGCACCGAAGGCGCGACCATAGCAACCATAGTAAATATATACAGATTCTCATGGTTTTCCATAAAAGGGAGGTGTACAACAAGGCCAAAATCTTGAAAATATGATCATCTCTACCCAATTGATAGTACTACATTACTTGTCAGGTGATTACGAGCAATCACCAGTTCTGAATAACAGCAGGGTGAAGTTTGAGATGCTGAATCTTAAAAAATATGTAGAATCTCCTGGTTTATTAGTTTGAAAGTGAAGTTTGATTTTTAAAAAAAAGCACATAATGAAATTATCAGGATGATAGTCTTTCCCTAGCATGATGCAGGTCCAGTTCAAATTTGACCTATTGTAGATGTTTTTTGCCTGGGCTGACAGTTTACCAACTACTTTAGGATACTATCTTATGCCATGCTATTGCTCATGGCAGGAGAGGTAGGGCTTGATACTACCTCAATAGCCCAAGGCTACATTGGCCCTGTGAGCCCAATGCTCCAGTGATGGACAAGCCTTGTGTGTGAGTAGCATTGAGGTTGCCATCATCTTTCCCATGAATGCTAAAATGGGATAAAGGGGAGCTAGAGTGTTTGAACACATGGCAATGCACCCTGGATGTCCAATAGATTGAAATTTCATGCATTGTGTGGTGTGCAGCCACTCATGGCATGGACTTCATCTATGGGCATCCATCCCAATTCACATTTTTTTAAATCAACATGATCTATAAGATAGCACTGTTAAATGGCATACTATTCAAAATGACATATTGTATTAAGGCTCAATGCTCAAAAATAATCTTGGTGGGCATTCATTGTGTTGAAGAGAGCAGTGAACCACAAAGGGAGGTCTTGGAATTTTTTGCATCTACTTCTGTGAAAGGTCAAGAAATCAGTCTTACTTACCCATGTCTATGCAGTATATTTCCTTCCAGTTTGAAGTCTCAGAAAATGAATCTTCCATCCACAAATAAGTGACCAGTCTTGATTTAGCTTTGCATGAAGCCACTGTTTATTATCCTCAAAAGGACCTCCAATTCTGAGGCTGAGTTTTTCCCCAAGCAACACATTTGTTAAGCTTTGGCATTCTTCCATATCATGAAAATTGACCTATTGAGTGATGCTAATTTTTCTCAAAATTTTAATACCTGTTATAAGATCACAGTCTACTGTTTTATCTCTGACCCATCATACAGAAGTTTGTGACCAAACTGAAAAACAAAATGAACCAAGTGTTTTTCTAATAATGGTCAACTTTGCATTGCTGCCCAATAGAATCAGTGCTGCTACTTGTCTGAAACCACCAGGCGGGGTGAATGTAATTTCCAATAGCTCTCTTGGAAGAAGATAAATTTTCAAGTTTAAAAAAATTTTATGGCAGATTTGGTTTGTATCGCACTCTTATCCTTTTTCCCCAACTGTCACTTAAAAAGCCAACAGGGATTAGAAAATGCAAGTGCATTATCATTTCAAGCTGATTCCCAAACTTATACAAACATGAGTAAATGTCTAAGTAACCTCTCTACTTTCTCAAAGCTTGAACATTTGCTATATTGAAATTGAGCCCTTTCTTGACAATATTTGTATCAAATTGTAACTCTGGTTGCAATTATATGCTACTGCAGTTGATGTTTGCTATCATGCAATACAAGGGGGTGTTTTTTCCTCCATTATAATATATTTTCATTAAAATGGAGAAACAGAATTTCGAAAAAAGTAATTTAATGTTTCCTGCACCTGAAGATGAAGTAGAAACAACTTAGCACGTACTGTAGAGAATTGCTTTGAGAATGGGCATGACTAATCAAGTGTGCAGCTAATTGATTGCCCGTGCATGCAGCAAGGTAATGTGTATACACATACCTCTACAATTAAAACTATGTTCCTGCTTCATTATTGGTTTGTTATGGGGCAGAACTAGCCTGAACTGAACCAAATCTGCCCTAAAATTTTCATACAATAAAATTGTGTGATTTCACCATAAAAACTTGTTTTTGGCAATTGGCACTAGAAAATTACTTTGTTACAAGGTATATTTTGTAATATCATAATTCATTACAACGTTTTATCATTTGTACAGGAAGATGCTGGGGGCCAAACAAATATTGAACATTTTTTCCCTAAATGGTGTCTATCGTTAAAGCATGCTTTGTTATAATGAGTGCAGACTGTACTACTACTACTAGAAAAATCTAGCCCTTTCTCAGGAAACTAACCTCTTGAGGAGAGCTGAAGGGGGAGATATTAATCACACGAATGGCATCTTGCAGTGCCAGGGAAATGACCATGAGGGCAAGCCAGACTGGCTGCAGATTCCTCAAAGCACGATGCAGAGACTTCGAGTCTAGATTGTGGTGCATTTCAGAGAAGAGTTCCACTGCAAGGGGGTAGCAAATCCCCTGAGTAGCTAATTCATCCCGAGACAGACCCCGACGCTGGCACTCCGACATCAATGTGAACAAAGTCTACAAAACATTCTTCATTACTCTCTTCACAGTAGATATTAGAGGGACCAATAAAAACAGAAATTACCTACCTGAAAGAGAAGGAACTCAGATCCTGGCATTTCACGAGTAAATGTTTTGGCGTACAATCCCAGAAGGGACTTTGAAGCAGTGCCTCGATAAGATCCAGAAGACTTTTGAAAGAAGGTTTGATAAGCCAACGTACTTTCAATTGGTTCCACTTTGTACCTAGAGAGAGATATAAAACACACCTTCATTCGTGGATGAATTTATTAAATTTATTAAACAGATCATGAGCTCCTTCATAGTCCAATGTTGCAGATGTTGCACAAATGATCACATACGAAACGCACCGGAAGTCCAGAGCAAGGACTCTTGTCACAAAGTTCAACAAGATGAAGGCCTTCTTTTGTTGTAGAGTCTGCAGACAACTTGTAGACCCTAACTTGCTGACAGGCTTCCGTACACTTTTGGAGTCATTCAGCAAGGACTCCAGATTATCTTTCAGAAGTTCCCATAGGAATGTCTAAAAAAAAAAAGGCTTTGACATCAATAAGAAAATCCATATAACCCTGAAGACATGATTCACTCACCTCTTTGCGGGATGATGGGAAGAAGGCCCTGGTGTAATATTCACGCATGCCAGAAGAAACTGGTGGGTGAAGAGTTACTAGTTTGATGAGACTGTCATGCCAAAAATCACATAACTCCTCATCACGCGAGGGCTACAAATTCAGACCATCATTCTTACATTTTGAGAACTGGTCAATGACATACACAAGATCAAATCATATTGAGTTTGTCTGTAAGTTAGGTCATAGAGTCACAGTTTTAGATGTCTTGACCTGATACTCATAGAATCCTCTTTTTAAAAAAACTGAATAATTAAATTCTACAGGGTGTTTCAAAAGTCCATAGGCAGATTTCCTAATTTACCTTGATTTCATTAAATGTTCAAATTGCATGCCATGAACTTGCATACACATATCAATCCTGGCACATAACCCCTCTGAATATTTCTTAGTACTTCTGTACTAATTTTGGTGCACTCATTCATTGAGAAATAAAATTAATTAAAAATACCCATGAGTACAGACTTTTGAAACACCCTGTATATAAATCCCGAGATGCACATCCAGTACACAGGGTGTTCATATTTAAATGCAACATAGGGAAATTTTTGCCCCCTGTTTGTGGAGTTCAGTATGTGCCTTACAGTTCATTGGGTTGCATATCTGGAAGGATGGATCCTATCACTGATTTGTTTTCTTGCAGATAGGCGACCCGGTGGGCCCTATAGTGTTTGCCGACCTCCACCTACAGGCAGCAAAATATTCCCTATGTTGTGTTTAAATACAAACACCCAGTATACATTTTCTGTGGCTTTGTATTTTGGTACACCTGACTTAAAAGTGCTAAACCATTGCTGATACTAGTCTTTGAACATGCAGAGACCCTGGAATCCATACCATGATGATGTCATGAGCAAAGTATATCACTCGAGGGGCTGGGATGAGAGCAGGAGTGAGTTTGGCAAATGCAGAGGAGAGGCATAACTTGGCATCATTCTTCTGCCAGTCTTCTGCCATACGCATTGACTCCCGCTCCTCCTCTGGCTCGATCTATGCAGTCACAAATATAATTCGTAAATGTCATTCCCCAACTCCATGACATCAATTTAGTTGAACACTTGAAACAAGCTCACGTGCTCCCCTGGGAGTACATTGAAAGGATACCAAACATCCAGGAGGTTGTAACAGAAGGATTCTTCATTGGTTTCCATTTCTTTCAGGATTCCTGGCAGATCTTTGATTATGTACCCAAAATATTACCTACATGATAATAAAGCATCTCTTATAATAACCATTACCAGAATCATGGATCGGGGCTGACAGCTCAAAGGCTAGTAATATCTCAAGCAAGAAAGAATTACTTTCTAAACCAGCTTGGAAAACTTTTGAGAAGCTTTAAGAGGAATGCACATGAACCACAGGGTCCTCTACAGTTCCTGCAAGGATGAGCCCCAGTGATTCAAGAGGCCATGGCAACCAAGTTCTGCCATGGTATAGGGGCTCTGGTTATGGGTGACCAAGGCAAACCAAAACAAGCATGAGTACAGCTCATGAGATTTAGATTAAAAGGGTCATTCAGAAAGTTATTACCTTATATGTCTTGAGGGCATTACTGGTGAGTCAGATCGCTGGTCAAGATATGAAATAGCATATTTCAGTATAATCTATTCTATGCCAGATTTTCGATTCCATGCTTGTATTGAAGCAGTGATCCATGTCTGTTAACTTGAGCAACTTCTGATGACTATAAAAAATTCTTTTTGAGCTGAAGCTTGAGCACAGGTTCTACAACTTTGATCACCTTGCTAAGGGCATCCATGGGGAGTTGCAGGAAGCACTAGGGATGGCTTCCCTTTCATACTGACATGTTGCCTTCTATATGTGGTGCTTCAGAGAGGGAAGACAAGGTTTTGAAGATCCATGCTTTGGGCATCTACATAGCTAAAAAATTAAGGAGATGATTGCAGCTGTCTGAGAACTCATGGACGATTGTGATGCAATGATAGCTATGATAGCTAGTCAACTGGACATCTGACAGGTAAACATTCATGAGATTTTGGGATACCTGCATGAGGAAGACCTACAGGTGGTGTGCCATGACAGATGCAGAAGCAGTTAGAAATGGCTTGAAAAATCCTAGATCTGTTTCAGCTGCCTAGTGCAGAGACCAACTATCTCTACAATGCTGTCCCTGGTGAAAAAAATTAGCTACATCATTTTGAGGTCAGATAAAAAAAGGTGATCATGGTCCTGATGGAAGAAAGCCAACTACCCCCATCCATTTCAAGCTGACTAAGAGAGCTGTCTTCTTCCACTTCGATGGTGAAGAGGCTAATAGCCATGGCCAAAAGGGAGAATTGTTGTTACAGGAAAATGGTATGCTGATGAAGCTGCCAAAGGAGATGCCAAAGTTCCAAGAGGTGAGACTTCTCCATGGTAATGCTTTAGAAAGGTCTGTGAAAAACAGACCTTTCTTTGAGAAAGGGGCATTTTTGGGATTCCCTAAACCCCTTTCCCTCAACCACTAGAAGTAGCTCCCTGTGATTTCTAGCTGTTTCCTCAGGTCAAGCAAACCATGACTGAAGTGTGGTGCGAGCCCTCCACCACTTTCAACTCAAGAACAGGGTTGCTCATCCAGTATGTGGGATAGTCCACAAGCATTACATCCAGGAGGTAGTGCAGAGTGGAAGTAGAACTTGAGCGTGAGATCCAGCAGTCTCTGGCAGATAAATACAGGGTATTCCAATAGTACCACTCCATTTCTTGTAAGGAGTGGAAAGTAGTGAACATATTTGGGGTAAACACCCTGGTTTCTGGCTGGTCTCTGGTTGCTAGCCAGTGAGGCTTAAATCTAGCATGATTAGTTAATCTAGCCGTTGTCAAGCATTCTATCAACATCTTCCTGTACGATGACCTATTACTAGTGTTTCCAAGTGTGCACACAGTGTCCACTTCCTATGGGAGTTGTATCAGTGAGGCCAAAAACTAGGCTAAGGTGGCCAAAAAAATAATAAAAAATTAATTAAATAAAGTGTTTATCCTATATATCTTCAGGGTATCATGTAGCGGTTCTAGTAAAAATCATGTCAGTGCATTTCGACATGTCCACCAACCATTTCCATACAAATCCCCCACCTCCCCTGTGGCATATCTTTCAGATTGAATTCCCTGCAAGGAGAAAACATGGTATCAGAAAAATTGAGTGGGACTTTTGGGACAACCCATATATGTTGAGCATATTGCAATTGAGAGTAGCCTCCCCAGACTTCAGTGAGGGGTTGGAATCTCCGAATCCCCCAGGAAAGATTCTTTGCAGAATATTAATGCCATGGTGGGAGGATGCAGACAGGGGGAAAAGGATTTAAAAAAAATGCTACACCAGAGTGGGTTCATGATCTGGAGTAGGGGGGCTTGTGATCTGGATTCAAATACTAAAGTCCACCAGTTGAGCACCCCTGCTTTAAAAAGTATTATACAGGGGTAATTTAATAGACTCTTGAATTTGGAAAGTTGCAATAGTAGAGGTGACTTGCTCTTTATATTTCCTTATTGTCATTTTTCCTTTGACATTCATGTCTTCTCCCCCCCCCCCCCCTTATGTGAGGAGAAAACAGACTTCTTGACATGCTGTAACAATCCCTTTGAGGAAAATACTTTTGATCATTATCCTGTTCATTGGGTTGAATGGTTTCACTGCAGTGGATCACTGGGTCAAAAATATCTGAGTTGGCCATCCAAATGCACAGGAAATGTGCAGGAAAAAATTATTCATCTTGGCCCTGTGAGGCATCAAATATGCCGAATAGATGTTGCCAAATACTTTATTTTGCTCATCAATAAAAATAAATGATGGTAAGCACTAAAGGGCACTGACAAAACTCAAGAGGATCATGGAGAAGCAGTGGTTTCACACAAGTTCATGATGGATTTCAGCCTTCAATGCCGTAATAGCATCCGTCACTTCTTGGAGGGGTTGACTGGGAGATGCAGACTTCAGTTTCTCTTGCAACTTATCCAATGTTACCTTCCAAGCTTCAACCTTCGGTGACTGCAGATATGTCTCCACAAATCTGCAAAGGAGCATTTTTGTGAAAGTTTCTTCAATTCTAATGTTTGATGGATTAGAGGAAGAATTCAGGGTGGGAGAGGCATTGGTACTGAAAATGTGAATCTCACCAAGGAACTTCCAATTTTCCATCACCCCAAGGTAAGCCAGGCAATTGCATGCACATTTTTCAATAGTGAGATATAATGTGTATTCAGCTAGCAGAAGGTTCAACAGGAAATGCAGGATGAGTACTTATGCAATACAACCCATCCATGGTTAGTATCAATAAGCATCAAAGCCCCCAAATTCATGAGCACTGATGTAGATTGCATATATAAATGATTTGATGCAACAGTGCATCACTGATGGTTCAAGTGTGTGTTCAAGTTCAAGTATGTGCAGAAGTTTCTAAAACTGCCACAACGACAGGCCTACTTTATACATGGTCCTTTACAACTGTTTAGTAGCCACAGGAATCTCCCAGAGGCATGATAATTGGGTGGCAGGGAAGCACCAATCCCAATGACAATTTTTTTGTATAGAAAATTCCATACAATTTTGTAAATGGTAGCAGGATATAAGATTGTATGTTACTCGTGTCAAATATGAGGAATCACTGTTTCATTATAAGAAAACCAAGTGAGTGAAACTAAAATCCTGCAGGTATGTCAAAAGTTACAGCACTTTTTTTCAAGTTCAACAGTATGTTCTACCTACACATGAAATGAAAGCAGAATAGAAAATCTCACATCTGAAACTATATAACATCAAACAATTTTTCACTTGTGGCACAAAATGCACCCTGAGCAAAGAATAAACTGAAGTAATGGGCTAACACTTGACATTAATGTTTGCTGTTCATGACTTCAGACACAGACTAAGCAAATCCCCCTCCCCCCATTCCTCCTCTTCAAAAAGGACATGACAATCCAGAAAATTCCAACCCTTAAAAATAGGGGTTTTAAGCCAAAAGCAAGCCTTACAGAATCATCCCTCTGATCTCTCCAAGGTCGAATGCAGCATCAAACATCTCCTTGTAGGCAGCATCAAAGCCCTCTTGGAGGCTCTCCTCTTCCCTGGCAGAAATACCCTCCCTGTAGCCTTCCTAAGCAAGAAACAAAAGGCTCCTTGACAGCAGAAAGTAACAGCTTTAATAGCTTACAAGATGAAGAAAGGTATTTGACCTTCTGCAAAGCCTTGGCTTTCTTCTCCAGTGCTTCACTATCCCTTTCAAGCTCATCAACATCAATCCCCTCATCCATTGCTAACTATCCTCTCTTTGTCCTGGTCCAGTCAATTGCTCACAAACTGGCAGAAATGAAAAAACACTCTTCCTATAGGATTTGATGGACAGCCTCTCCCACAGCTTGCTTGAATCAACCCACTCAGCAGTATCACTTGGCAAGGGAAGATCTGTGCCAACCAGTTCTGCTTTCATGAAGAACACTTTTGCTCCTACACTTCCAAGCTTCTCTCGTAACGCCTTCCCGTACTTATACTTGTAGAAACCCCAGGGGACGTTGCCAAGAATGTGAAAGTTAACCTCCCTTCCAGGGAAAGAGTTCTGGATGCAACGTTCTGCTGCGTCCCGTAGTGTGTCTGATGCTGTCACACACTCTTGTGGCAGGCTCCACACATCATGGAACTTACTAACTAGATATCGCACTTTGTCGCTGTAATTTTTTGGAGGAAGTTGGCTTGGATGTTCATGCAAGAACCGTTCATACTCTTCACTCCATTTATCCTCCTTATCGTGAGCAGTGGCAAGGGAAATCTCAGCTGCCTCCTCCTGATTTGACTTTGCTTGCAGCTCTTTCTCCAGCTGGAGCTCATGGTTTGACTTCAGGCTATTCCTAAACTCCTGCTCAAGCAGGTACTTTCGCACTCTCTCTTCCAAAGGTGTCAGCTTTGGAGTGAGAAGAGCATTCTGCTTCAGGCACACTGAGGCATACACATCCCATTTAGGTGCTGCCTCGCCATGTACACTCCGAGATAGGGAGCCGAAGACACTCTTCACTGTTTGTAACCTGGAAGCTTTGGATCCAAACATGGGGTTCAAGGGCCTGGAAGAGACTAAAAACAATCAATGGAATCTAACTTAACAGATTTTGGCATGTATATGTAAGAATATTGAAAATTTGTCTTCAAATAGTAATCAAGCAACCTAACTTCATCAAGGCTGACTTCACCTGGTGTTTTTTTAAATTTATTTCAACAGAAACAATGGTAAAATATTTTATAAAAAGATTAGTTAAACCATCTGGATAGTGGTAAAAAAAAATATATACAGGGTGTTAAGAAAGTTGTGTCCCATCACAATATGCCTATAACCTCAGCAAAAATGTGAAAATCAGGAAATTTTTTTATACGCAACAAAAAGGACAGTTAACTGATTTAGAATCACTTAATAGTTTTCAATATAGCCACCCTTGGTGCAAATGACAAGGTTCAGATGACCCATGAAAGCATCGACTGATTTTCGCAAGTCTTCCTGTGGAATTCTCTCCCCATTCTCTGTTCAGGGATAGTTTGAGAGAATCCAAAGAATGGCGTTTTGTAGCTTATTTTTTGCTCTCCAAGATGGACCATATTGAAAAATCTAAATCTGATTTTTTTCAAGCCACTCAGCATCAAGGGGCAGCTTCTGTGATGGTCTGGGCCAGGATTACCGCACTCCGCTCGTTTTCGAGCCTGAGAAGATGAAGGTCAACGCTGATGTTTACCGGAAAAGCATCCTGGAAGACTGCCTGGTTCTGTGAGCCACAAAATATGGAGGACTCCAGCAGGACTCAGGGCCAGCTCACAAGGCACGGATGACCCAGGAGTGACTGTGGATGAATGTCCCTGACTTCATTTCGATTTCACAATGGCCCCCTTACTACCCCAATGTGAACACCCTAAATGTTTCCAATTTGGTCCATCTTGGAGAGCAAAGTGTGTGCTACAAAGCACTGTTCTTTGGATTCTCTCAAGCTATCCCTGAACCAAGAATCGGAGCGAATTCCACAGGAAGTCTGGCGAAAATCAGTCAATGCTTTCATGGGTGGTCTGAACCTTGTCATCCGTGCCAAGGGCAGCTATATTTAAAACTATTAAGTGATTCTAAATCAATTAACTGTCCTTGTTATTGTGTATTTAAAAAATTTCCTGATTTTTAAATTTTTGCTGAGGTTATTGGCATATTGCAGGGAGACACAACTTTCTTAACACCCTGTATATATAAATGGGAATTCTTCATGAGATTGAGAAATCCAAAAATCTCATCCAGAATGGTACTAATAATAACTATTCCTCAGTTAGATTCTTTCAGACAATTTTCAATAATGGTTAATTAGAATATGGAGTACTGTACTGATTAAAATTCTACAGATTTAAATTTTTACAAAAAATAAGAATCCTTGAAAAAATACCATGTGAAAGTAGCCTGAATGATGTGATAAAATAATCCTTGTTTGAAAGATCTGAATCAGGGGGATTCTCTGACTCATAAAATCTTCATGAGGATGTGAGAAGAAAAAAAGGTGCCTGGCTTAACCTGAAACAAGGTGCCTATCTTAACAAGGAAATAATGACATTAAAGAGCCTGATTGCAAGAAGAAACTATCCTGGTTTCCAGGTAATCAATAATTTTTTCTTATATACACTGCATTCATCTATTTCCATGGTTTGAATGAATGCTTAGTAGATTCTTAACAGGAGTAGTTACTAACTTACATTCTACCCTACTTTTTTTAAAAAATGATCTAAGATGTTTTTGCCAAAACTATTTGAGCTTCAATGGCACATGTTTCTGTAGCACTCTCTGTGACATGGATGAGTCAACTTTTGGGTCAACTACTCTCTTATCCATGCATCAACTGCCCTTTGTGTCAGAGTGTAGCATGGATTGCAGGGAAATGATTCCCTCCCCACATTGTTCCTCCTGTGATTTCTTCTTCATCCTGATAAATGCCGGAAATCTAGAAGGGATCAACTGATCAACTATGAGCAGTCAAAACTGCCATCAGGGAATTCCACTTGATGGAAATCATCCACTTGGTGACTCATCTTTCTGCATGCACACCAGAGAAATCCACTGGTGACAGATGATGATCCTATGTGAGAGAAAGGGGGTTTCACCTGCATTACACCAGATCCAGCCTGGAATTATCAGTTGCAAGACTTCCCTGTCACTCACCTCAATTGGAAGAAGGTGCTTCAGAAAGTGAGTCATAACAAATCTTGAGGTTCCTTTTCCTGTTGATCATCCTGAAATGTCAAGGCATGGAAAATTTACCAGATACCCATGTGAAATACAGAAGCATCCAACAGCTGAACATTCTTGGTTTCAATTGCTGTAATAACAAAATGTATTTTATCATTGATGAGAATTTAGCAGGCAAATGAAACTGCATTGGGAGTTTGTGCTTGATATCCCCAAAACATCCTTGACAGAAATAACATCACTCAACATTCTCAATGGATCACTGTTATAAACTATGAATGTTACAATGGTCCACTAAAATAATTCAGTTTCATACAGCCAGGATCATTTGATTGCAAATGGGTCTCCAAACTACAAGGTACAATGGGGTTCAAGTACATACATCCAATATGCACCATACCTTATCACATTTGTCAATACCCATGAAATTGATAGTGATCCACTGCAAATGTTAAGAGGTGTAATAGTTTTGTCCTCCCAAAATCTATGAAAACTTTTCCTTGAGAGAAGTTCTTGAAACTCCCTTAAACTTAAAACTGCCAGGTGGAAGGAAATAACAAAATGACCTTGCTCTCACCAGTCACCAGATGGATTTTGTGCAGTGCCTCAAAATGCTTGAGAGAGTATGGTGACACATTTACATTCATCCATCTTCATCACAAGTTATATTATCTACCATTGTATGGAGAATTGAGCAAAAAGTTCTTCCAATTAACACACAAATGGTGCATGCAGGAAATAATATTGAATGCTCACCTCAATGTTCCAGATGTCTTTTCCGTTGAACACCTGGCTCATCAGAAGTAATCCAGAGCTGAAGTTCCTTCAATATCATGCACTGCTGCCTGAGTTTGACACTAACAGTAACTAACATCTTCATTCCCTACTTGATGAGGCATTATGGGATGACTCTTGATGATGAATGTCAGTTGGTGACTGTTGATATAAGCTGGGGGTTTCATCTTCCCTACTTATCTTATCTTTAAAGCCTATGCCTCGTCCCTTCAGACAATGAGGAGAGGTTACAAGTGTCTGAGTCTCCAAGAGCAGCAACTCCCTTCGACATAGATGAATTTTGATTTTGCAGATGAAACTAGCTCTGACATCAAGTGTTCATATTGCCAAGTGCATCTCTTCCTTGAATTACTTCGGAGTAAATGGGCAAAACATTGACCTTTGCCAATGTCAAACAGTTTATCAAAATGAGCAGATTTTTCAACACTTAATGTCACCTGACCTTGTTTGGTAACCAAGTCAAGCTCTATTGCTTGAAAATATCAACTTGAACCAAGCAACACTCAAGGCTAATAAACATTTCGATATATGCAGTCTAGAGAAAAGGCTTTTCTCCCTTATTGTGCTACTTTTACTAATTTGAGCTTTGAGCTTATCATGATGATTATTAATGCCCAATAATTATCATCTTTTTACTCTAATTTTAACACAAACTGACTTAAGGCAGGAGCATAAAAATACTACAGAGTGATGCCAGAATTAACAACTCCTCTTCAAGCCAGAACCCCTGATTCTGATCCCTCATGAATCTTCATGCAGATTATGGGTCCCAAGCAGGAAATTGCAAGTTGCTTGCACCTCTGGGTCCACATGTATTTGCTTCAGTAGTTGTTGATTCCTTGCCTAAATGTCTCTTCAAGAGTACCACTCAAGTCAACATGAGCATACATAAGCTGCAGAAAATGAGGTTCCAATTCATCCATCACAGTCTGGAGCATTTGATTACTGGAACCTCTGCTTCCTATTCCTTGCAGCCCTTTGACATAATCAAAATACACCCCATAATGTTATGGCACTACAGACTGCAGATCCAAAAACCAAATGACGGTGAAACAAGCACTCAATACATGTGCTTTGATATCCTGTTCTGGTGTCATAAGTGGTATGAGACATTTTGCTAGCTTCCCAAGAAAGAATTCCCTGACTCAGAGAATCACAGGAAAAAGGTGTCATCTATAATGAGTGAAGCCAAGGGAATAATCCTTGGGTTTAACTAGTCATGGAAAATGAAGCTGAGTGATGATGGGGATGGGGTAAATCCTTCAAGTAGCAATTCCACACTACATATAAAGTGAATGCTTCTTGATCCAAGGCTTTTCATGACATGATCTCTGGCTAGTTTTCCTGAACTCACTGGGAGCTTCATCAAGAAAAGCTTGAGCAAGTTCCTTCACAAACAGCTTGTAGATCCAATTCATGATGAAACTGGAGTTTGAGGAAATCTCTGCAAACCATTGCAGGTAAATCTGAGCTGCTCCCAATCACTTCTTGAATCTACACCAAGATGCCAGCTCTTCCTTGTTCTCAATACATGGACAAGATAAGAATTTGGATAAGAAGATATAAAACAAGCACTTCCCTGTTGCATCGGTGTATCTGCTCCCTCATTTTTGTCATGACTCAGATGTCCATCAGGGAGGCTCAATGTGATATTAAAAAAATAATAGCATTTTTGGTGCAAACCATTTGAGTGGACAGCCTTATGATTCACAAGTCACCTTCAGGAGAAGGGAATAGTACCTTTGCACAGCCAGAAGGAAAAGATAATTATTTTCCTCTCTTGACACATTAGAGCACACATCCTGATCTCCATGGACCAGGCCTGCCAGGGCAGCTGCTGTCATTCTGATCCTTCCCTGAACGAATCTTGGGAGTTGAACGTGGAAAGCTGAAGCATCTGGCATAAAATGCAATAGCCAGTCAAGCAGGTCATTTCAAAAACTTTGTGATTAATTTTCGCCATCAGACCAAGCATGCTTGAGTTGTACTCCTGCCCTTGGGAATCCCAAGATTGTATCAATGTTCACTAATTGCTATAGTTGGCTCATGATTCATGCTTTTGACATGAATGTTTCCTAATT